GTGAACTTTTTCGCTCCTTACTAACTAACAAATATTATTTTACTTTAACTTTTAGAAAAAATAAAATAAAATAAAATGTAATTTATTTCAAATTAAAATGTAAAGTTGACATGCCAAATAAGAAATCTGACATGTATGATGGGAATGATGGGATTGACTAAATCAGATATAATGAATAATTAAATGTGTTATGAAAAAATTGCAGTAATAAATCAAAGAAAACAACCACAGATAGTGTGGAAATATATACCATGGACATGTACGATGATGCACCAATATGAAGAAGAAGATTAATTTATACTGAGGATAAAAGATAATAATAATAAATGAGACATGTACCAAAATTAACATAAAAAGAAGTAATTAAATATGACTTTAAAGAATCACGTATAATAGATGTGATAATAGACAACAATGGAAACGAGAAAATCACCTTTTTTATTATTATTATTTATTTCAAAGTGAAAAAAATATGGTTTAAGGCGGGCAGTAGTAGGGAACCCACATTTGCCTAGGGCGTCTCAGGCCCACCCTTGGTTTACTGTTCGGTTTGTTTGGATGTTTGTCGTAAAATATTTATGAGAAAAAAATGTTAAAATTTAACAAAAATAATTTATTCGTTAATTTTTTATAAGTTATTTTACAAACTCCATCCAATAAATCCGGCCTTAACCATCTGCCTATACTTTTGTTAAATACCGAAAAAATAAAAAATTATATATATATATTTTATCTAAAAAAAAATTATTTTCTGAATAAAATATTTTACTAGCCTAAATTTCTCTACTAACATTGGAAAGTTCTTTGTCATAATAAAAATAATAATAATAATAAGCAAGTGTGAGAAACTATTCTATTTCTTTCTATCTAAACTTTAAAAAAAATTTAAAAATTTTCTTTTCTTTTTCTTTTCTAGTTGATTACTTTAATAATAGAGAGGAAAAGTGTAAAAAAAAAAAAAAAAAAAAAAAAAAAAAAAGATAAGAAGGACCCCCCTCTTTTTTTCAGGTGCATATATATATATGTGTGTCTGTGAGAATTATAAATCCTATAAAGTGGGGGCCTCTTTTCAGATCAGGTGCTAGCTAGCTGCCTAGTTGAGGATCCCAGATCTCAAAAGCATTTTAAATTTTGGAAACAAAGATGGCTGTCCATTCCAAGCACCTTTATGATATGTATGATTCTTGATTTAATCATTTTATAAAGACATCTACATTAAAGCAACAATCATTTTATAAAGCAAAGCCAGCTTAACTAATATACCCTTTGGTCTTCTTTCAAACAAATGCAAAAGCTTAATTGAAAGAAGGAAATCAAAACCCACCAGGATTGCCATTTTGGTCTAGTCAAACATCTGCTTCAATGATCTTCCCACTACACAGATACCACTGGATGTGTGTGTGTGTAATGGTTTCTTGCTTATTAATGAGAAAATAAAAATAAAATTCTCCATGCAAAGTATGGTAATAAGTGACTAATCATCTCTTGGGGATAAATTTTTTTCTTACCAATGAGCAAGAAATCATTTTTATTATACATGGCTTGATTTATTGGTCTTAAAAGTAAAATATAGCATACTTTATATACTGTAATAGTTTGGATGCAACATTTTGTAGTAAATAACAATCTACCTGCATACTGAACCATTTTCCAATAGTTTTTAAATCTTTGTGATTTTTAAATTTTAAATATTTGAAAGTCTTTTGTGGTCCAATTTTGCTTAAATCTACTCTGCATATGTGAAAATGAAAATTATAACAAGACGGGTGTTTCGCAATCTGACCCAAAAAATTAAGTTATTAAGTATATATCCGAACTCACCACGCATCCCTTGCGGTCTAGTTAGACCGTCCTGCCTACTCAGGTGAGTGAATTGGGTCTAATTCTGATATCAACTGTAATAGGTTGTGTGCTTGGTAATCCCACACAAAAGTTTAAGTTATTAATTGGGATTAACACCCAACCTATACATACCCATTTCACTTTCCATTTGAATCTGATATGGGACAAAACTTCCCTTGTAACAATAATCTATTTTAATATCCTCATAACTCACACAACACACTTAAATTGCTTCGTTTGTGTTGGATGCAAATATTTTTTAAAAAATATATATTTATTTTTTATTTTTTGGTGTTTGATTTTCATAAAATATTTATGAAGAATTTATATTATTATTATTATTATTATTATTTATAATCAAAACCTAACAAAAATAACGTATTTGTCAATTTTCGGCAAGTTATTTTACACGCCTCACCCGATGGACTCGACTTCAATTTCGATTTAAACATTTGTTAAATATCAAAAAATAAAAATAAAAAGATATATTTTTTAAAAATATATATATTTTTTCAAAAAAAATATTTTACATCGAAACAAATAGAGCATTTAGTTAAGAAAACTATTACTTGCATGAATTAGTTATGTACTAATTTGTAAACTTGAATCCAATTTCGCAATCTGGTAGTCAATTTCCTGGAAAGTGATATTTATTTTATTTAAAATATATATATATATCATTTGTAATTCTATAAGTAACAAATTTTCTTGTTTCATAATTCTTAGTTTTAATTAAAAATTGAACCAAATAAATCTTGAAAAATCCACAATGTAAAAAAGAATGGGCTTATCTGAATTAAATTTTTTAGTGGTGTTTCCTCACCTTTCAAAGTAGAAGACATAAATGGGTGTCTGAGTTTCTTTTCATGATAAATAATAATAATAATAAATTTAAAAATTTAAAGAATGTGCAGATTTATAAAATGTGAGAAAATTTAGTTCAAACCTTTTCAATTTAACTTTAAGGTGTCCATTTGGTGGAAAGATCATTTGTAATTCTCTACGATAATGTCATTTGTAATTCTTTATGATACAGGATGAGTCGAACGCATACTCCTACACGACTCAAAGGAGTACCTCTACTAATTTTAAGGATTCCATTTGGTGGAGAGAGAATGTCATTTGTAATTCTCTTTGATACCGGGTGAGTCAAACATGGGCTCCCACATGGCTCAGGGGAATGTCTCTACCAATCGGGAGTGTCCCATCCGAATCCGATGTCAATGGCTCGCCCTATGAGTTTTTACAACCTAGTAGAGGCTTGAGGCAGGTCCCTCAAGCCTTTACTCTTCACTTTATTACTGTATTTTTTTTAGTTTGATAGAACAAGGGCTCCCACGTGACTAAAGGGAATGCCTCTACTGATTTTAAGGTATCCATTTGGTAGAGAAAGGATGTCATTTGTAATTATTTATGATATCGGATGAGTCAAACATGGGCTCCCACACGACTCAAGGGGGTGTCTCTACCAAACGGATACCGAGTGAGTCGAACATGGGCTTCCACACGACTCAAGGGAGTGCCTCTACTGAATGGGAGCGCCCAATCCAGATTCAATGCGAGATAAGTTCCCCTTATAGCATTTTTTTCCACCCAAACTCATAACGCCCTTGTTGCGATTGGATCACCTTGACTAAATTCAGGTCAGACGCTTGACATTAGATTAAGGAATGAATTTGGCTCTGATACCTATAACAGGCCGGATGCTTTACGATCCAACTTACAAATTTAAGTTATTAGGTGAGGTTAACATTTAACTCGCATATACGCGTTACCCAGCTCACCTCTTTTACTATTTCAATAAATAATGTTTAACAAAAAAACTTATACAATAACCAATAAAGATAAAGTCTTCTCCTTTTAAAGTGTTTGGTTAAACAATAGCCACGAAAGCCACTTTTATCATTTCCCTTCACTAAATACGATTTTTTTTATTATTACTCCGTTTTTTTTTTTTTTTTAATTTTTAATAAAACTAATAAAAAAAACCTTGAGAAATTTGGCACAACTAAATACGACACCGTTGCACAATGTAACTAAATTTAGGCCCCGGAGTTTAAGGGTTGTTAAACAGAGGTGAAAAGAACAGAACAGAGCACAAGTACAGTAAAATCGTACTCACATCCAGTCTCTCGACCAATCACCTTCCGAAACGTGACACGACTGATGAATACTACCATATCAAACGGTCTCTCTGACTATACATATACATTACACATCATATCAATGATATCATATATATATATATATATATATATCAGAATAAAGTGCAAAAAAAATCTCTTAATTTCTAGACTTTTTACAACTAACATTCTGAATTAAAGATTATCCTTAAACTATTAATTTGTTATAATTAAGAACAAATTCATTACAAACATTATTTTATCTTTTGTTATTAAATTTGTTATTTTTATTAAATTAATTTTTATTATATTTTCTCTTATTTAAATATTAATTTTATGATTAGTATTAATTGATTATAAAAATTGAAAAATAAATAAATTTGTAACTATTATTTTCTAAAATAATTAAATTATTATAATAAACCTTATTATACTCACTTTAAAAAAATTTAGTATAAAAAAAAATCTTCTTTTCAAACAATATTCATGAAAAATTAATAAATTACGTAAATAAAAAATATCTTCTTTTTAATATAATATATTTATAAAAATTAAGAAATTACTTAAATTGTTTCAAAATTTTTTATTTAAAATTTTTATTTAAATAATTAATTAAAAAATTAAAGGTAAACTTATGCGAATTTAATGGAGAATATTTTATCAAATTAATATGAATTTTTTTCATAATTTATTTTAATAAAAAAAATATATCAAGTGTAATTCAATAAGAAAATGTATTATGGTCATTTAATGAAAATTAAGTAAGATGGTCATTTAATGAAAATTAAGTAAGATAATGTGATATTTTGTAACTAAATATGATAGTTTAGGAGAATTTTTTGCACAAAAAATAATTCATGAGTTATTTACAAATTTAGAAATAATTGAGGATTTTTTTTTTGTATTTTATCCTATATATTATATAATCTGTAATACGGAGTAATATATATGTATGTAAATACCTATCTATCTATCAATATATATATATATATATATATCTGTACTGACGGGCACGAGGCATGGGTGGCATGAAGATCAATGATCAGAAACTGTTACTGTTTCAGAGCGTGCGAGAACGTGCGTCCTCTCTCTCTCTAGACCTCCCCCAATCCTTTCATTCCCCTCGTCTTTCCCAATCGAGGCAATCGTCTCTTTCTCTCTCTAAAACCTCACTCTCTCTCTTTCTTTCATCACCCCTCTCTCTCTCTACTTTTTCTTCCTAAACCAGAAAGGACCGGTCTTTTTCAACTTAAACCTAAACAACTGGAAAATATACATCTAAGGTTCTCTCTCTATAGTCAAATAATTGAATTTCAACCCTCCAATTTCTTCTAGCTACTTCTCTTCTCTCTCACTATCTCTTGAATTCTCAAAACTTAAAAGCTTTTGTTTCGTCATATCAATTGTTGATGAACTTGAATTCTCAAGGTTTTTTTTTTCGGAAAGTATGAATTCTCAAAGTTGTTCCTGCTTTCTCTCTCTATATTCTCTCTCTATCTACTGTGAACCTGATCACTGAAAGCTTCTGTTTCTCTCTCTGTGTAGGAATTGTTGAACTGAAGTGAAAGCAAGAGATGAGTCTCAGAGAAAGTTGATTTCTCTCCGGAGCGAGAGTTGAAGTATATACTAGTTTTTGTAGGTTTGAGTTCTCATGGAGGATTTATATAGGCTTCATTCTTCGATTTCTTGTTCGGATGATATTTCCGGAATCGGAAATTTTAATCCGGCGATGACGGGAGCTCTCGGTCCAGGGAGTACTATGCTTCAATTCGAATCGGCGGCTGAAATGGAGGTCACCGGATCAGAGTCGATGTCTGATCTGATCAAGGCTCAGATCGCCAATCATCCTCTCTATCCAAACCTATTATCTGCGTATATTGAATGTCGAAAGGTGATCATGTTTAGCAACATTTTCTATAGAAACAAACAATATATACTAATGCATATATAGAGCATGATGATATATATATGTATATATAAACACATAATATACCTATCACAGGTTGGAGCATCACCAGAAATGGCTTCACTTCTTGAAGAAATCAGCAGAGAAAGCCATCCGATCAGCTGTTGTCCCGAGATCGGAGCGGATCCTGAACTTGATGAGTTTATGGTAACTTCTCTCTCACCATAGTTTCTCTCTCTATATCTACACATATATATTTTGTATGTGTAAATTACTAATCAGTTGGTAATTTGACGGTTTCGGTTGAAGGAAACGTATTGTGCAGTTCTACGTAGATACAAGGAGGAGATATCAAAGCCGTTTGATGAAGCGACGACTTTCTTGAGCAACATCGAAACACAGCTCAGTAACCTCTGCAGAGAAACGATGACGGCGACGACGACCTCGCTGACCTCCGTAAACTGTCACTCTGGTAAAGTGTCTCTCCCTGCGCATTTTATCCTTTCCGTGCTTAACTTGCGCGTTTTATTCTTTGCGTGTTGGAGGTGAAGTGGTTCTGTACCTGAAGTGACTCGGTTTAGACCCTAGAATACTCTCTCTCTACCTAAACCACTGTGCTGCGTGCGCACGTTAGAAACATAATGTATATCGTTGCCAACAGTGGAGATGTTTAAAATGCACACGGTGCTGTACGCAGCATTGATATGTCTTTCAATGTCTTCTGCCTTTATGAAATATCATTAATTTACTTATATCTTTTTGCCCTAGTTTTTATTAATAATATTTATTTTGATGAAGCATTAAGCTTTTTGGTACATAAATTGTAGAGATTTGAGATCTGAGACATGACTGTTCTCTGATTTCTTGAACTCGGCACCAGTAGTGTAGTGTAGTGTCTGGTCAGATTTTTTATTCTATCTGATAGTTCTCTACAAGACTTTCCCCTTTTCCTCGCCTGAGCCGGTCTTTAGTTGTGTGCCACTGATTAATCCTCGGAAATTGAAGTTTTTTTGAATGCCGGGAGCTTTTTATTGTTTTGATTATTATCTTCTTCAATAATGTTCCTAGCAAAGCTAACATTGTGATAAGACCTAAGAAGCATGACGTGGACAAAGATACACTATAAATATTATGATATGCATATATTAATGGTTAAATATTATACGACTGTATTAAAAAATTCATAATATAACAAGGAGTCAAGGACTAGTGTTTGCATGTCTGTATGCTTATAAAAAGAAATGTTTGCATGTATGTATGCAGCTATATACATGTGAACACATTATTTGGTGATTCCTTTCTTATTCCATGCGGTATCCTTTTGCTCCTTCGCTAATACATGTCTATTTCTTTTTGGTTTTAAAAAAATAAATATTTCACGAACCTTTATTTGATTTTACATTTGTACTTCAATACTTCTTTATGCTGGAAAAAAGAATGTATCATCCAACTTTCAAGATTCATTGGTTACATGTTAAAATCTTACTACATGTCCAAGAATATTTTGAGTCGATGTGTCTGAAGTTAAGGATTTTAATTCGTATTATAGAAACTTGCAAAATGTGTAAGATACATGTCCCAGAGTATCCAAGAAGTCAAGTCTGGGTGTCTCACAAGTTTTCCAACACTAAACACTTTGATGATGTAAATTTGAATTCAAACATGAGAGAGAGAGCCCTGGGTTGACACTCATAGCATAAAGAAATTGGAAGCTATAATTAAAATTATTGAAATTCATTACCTCTTTTGGTTTTTAGTACTAATCGGAAAATTGGAAGTAGTTGGGACTTGGGAGTATTGCCATCCACCATCAAAATCGATGTTTGGAATATTTATTAACTTTTGCAAGTTACTCTCAAGTTTTAAATATTGATGGTGTTACCATGGCACCAAATGTATGAGATACCATTAGAGAAGTACAGCCTTGTCTGCATAGTTTCCGTGAATGAACCCAATTAAATTTCAATACTTTACATTGATATTGATCTTCACTCTCTTCAACTTGAGGGAGGAGGGATGCAAATTTTATAAATCTTCTTTTCTTGTGGCTACCTTTTATGGCTTCCTTGGTGCAAAGACACAAATTGACTATCCATAATTTTGATAAATTTGAAATGACTAAGCCAGGTTTTTTTGTTTTTGTGTTTCACTAAGCATGTATGCTTCATTGCTTCTTACTTTATCTTAGTAGAGAAGTCATGGTTATATATTGCAATTAATTAGTTTGTTGTGAATTGAGATTTTTCAACTGTTTGAGTTTCAATGATAGCGCAAAAAAGATCCTCTAAGATGGTCCATTTGCTCTTGTTCCTCATCATGTGGTATGTGAGGTGAATTTGGCATCTTCGATGGAATCTTAAAAGCACAGGTTTAGAAATCTAAAGTCATTTTAGAGCGCTCAAGTTTTAGAAAAATAATTTTAGTATTTTTCAGAAGACATTCTTTGAACGCTAGACCGCTAGTGTGGTCAAGCCATTGTATATAGTTTGCTGGAGTTGGTGATTCTGAATAAGCTTAAGCATAGTGCGACTCTAAGTATGCCACCGTGTCACTTTGCTCATGTTATGAAATTTGTATTTAGTGTCATGATGAGCTGTAGGCACACTTCCAATTGAGAACATTGCATAGAAACCAGATAGGCAGATAGATGCTTATTTCAATGTATATTGCTATTTATATATTTAATACATTCATTGTTTTTGCCTTGCATTTTTATTGTTTATATTTTGATGAAATTAGGTTATGCAAAAGAGCACTAGTGTGGTTCTGTGCATGCAAATGCGTCTTGACATCAAGACTCGATCACAAATGATAACATACATAAAACATGATTAAACCAACTACATCCATCAACGAGAAGAGATAATCTATAATTTCATGTAAATAGGTTATAAAGGAAAAGAATACAATATTTAAATGTTAGTGCCTACCTACACAATTAGTTTTTCAACCAATTCCTGAGTCCTTCTCTAGATGCTTGTACCAAGCCTTACTTCAGCTTCTCTACCTCACCTAATGTCATGATTCATAATACAACTTTCATCTCTACAAACCCCCACGAGGGTTATCTCTCTCTCATTCTCATTCTTAGTCTCAACTTAATAACATAACTATTTATTCAAGTAGTTTACATCCAAGTTTATCCAAGTTTTTTGTTGGACAAGGAATACAATTTCTTATTACACAAGTAATTCCTAACAAGAACTTTCTTAGACAAGAACTAACTTCTAAATAGAAATCTAATTAAAATAGCAACAAGCCATCCTATTTTATGTAAAGGTTCTCTAGATTTCTCGTCTTTTTCTTTGGCTGAGACATTCTTTAGACTTGTCACTCACTTGTCCAGTATTACTGGTAGGAAATAGAAGTTCCAGAATGCTGAGAGCATTATCATTGTTAAGTTTCTTTCTCTCTCTCTTTTAAAGTTAGAAAAAGATCACACCTAAACTGATCATTGGCTGTGAACTGTGCAGAAAATGTCAGTGTTTGTAATAAATGTCTTGGTATGGTGATAAGGTTGTGGTCAAATAGTGTGAGATTATTTAGTTCAGAATGAAAAGTAACCAAGAAAATGAATTTGAAGACTCCTCGCAGATCTTATCAAGTCATAACATTTTAAATTATTCAGAAATTCTCAAGTTTTAGACAAATAATTTTTAGTATTTCTTGGAAGATAACATTGAAGATCACAATGACATTTCAAAAGTTCGGGTTTATAATTTTGTAATAGATGACAGAATATTCCGAATTTTGCGTTTAAAGTTGGATAGCAAAATATCATTTCCCCCCTCCCTATCATAAAGTACTACATATTATTGTGAAACTTCTTCAAAATATAGTCAGCTATGACATTTTTCTAACATTGTTAAGTTTCTTTCTCTCTCTCTTTTAAAGTTAGAAAAAGATCACACCTAAAATGATCATTGGCTGTGAACTGTGCAGAAAATGTCAGTGTTTGTAATAAATGTCTTGGTATGGTGATAAGGTTGTGGTCAAATAGTGTGAGATTATTTAGTTCAGAATGAAAAGTAACCAAGAAAATGAATTTGAAGACTCCTCGCAGATCTTATCAAGTCATAAACACCAACAGTACTTAATGAGTTGAAACGGAAGTCTTAAAGTTCATAGCTGCTTTGGTTTTGTTGGCAATTGCACTAGCTACTTCTGTACTTTCTAGTATATATTATATTTGCAATCCAATTTCAGAGTATATATTTAAAAGAAAAATGTCAGCTTTGCTAGTTACTTGCAAGATTCTATTAATATGTCATCTTCATTATTCATGAGATCAGGGGCAAGACATGGTAGCGACTGTCATTATAAGGGGTTACTGAAAGAGCCTCGTATGCATAATTTTATTCATGAACCTTATTGTATATTAATTATAGATATTGATATGACTTGCCATTCTTTCTACAACTAGATTTTTGAGGGATGCAACTTTTTAACACTATCTTTCTTTTTAGCAATTCTTTATGAGGAGCTTTTTTGGTGCAAGGCTGTAAATCTATGACCACGTATTTCAAGTAAATTTGGTATTCAATTAGAGTTTGTTTTTGTTCCCATTATTTAGATGAAAAAGCTTCTTATTTTACCATGATAAGAAATGATTGTACATTTAAGTAATTAGTTATGGTGCGTTTTCGAATTTTTGACTGTTTAAATTTCAATGATGGTGCGACAGCATCGCAAGGATCATTTGAGGCAGTCCAATTGCTCTTGTTCTTCTGTGGTTGAGTAATGTGGTTGACATATATTTTCCATTGTCAGAATTTTAAATTGTTACATCTCAAAAAGATCCAGGATTAAGAAAATTTTAAATTATTCAGAAATTCTCAAGTTTTAGACAAATAATTTTTAGTATTTCTTGGAAGATAACATTGAAGATCACAATGACATTTCAAAAGTTTGGGTTTATAATTTTGTAATAGATGACAGAATATTCCGAATTTTGCGTTTAAAGTTGGATAACAAAATATCATTTCCCCCCTCCCTATCATAAAGTACTACATATTATTGTGAAACTTCTTCAAAATATAGTCATCTGTAATTTTATTGATTATTATTTAACTTTTATGTCTAAATAGCTCTTTTTCATGTGAATAACCTTCCCTTGTCAACACCTTCTGAAGAATCAAACCCATTGATGATATTGGCATGGTAAAATGGAAATACACAATTATTGTGACTCAATAACCTATAAGAAGTGAGGTGAATAAGTTCATCAAGAAATCTCTAGCATAAAACTTTATTTAAATAAATCAACTAGATAAATAACGGACACAATTCTCAACCAAAAAGGAGTTAGTAATGAAATAGTTTAACTTCCATGGTTCATGGGCTTGGTTTTTTGGATTTCAATGTCATGATTACTATTTGTTGTCCTAATTTGAGGAATGGAATAATGTGAAGGGTATTTCACATTGATGAATCATTTGATATGACAGGAGAACTCTATAATTGAGCTTTAAA